CCGCGGCGCCGGGGCTGGACTGCGCCACCCGCGCCGGGCGACTCTCCGCGGGTCCCCCACGCCCCGTCCCCGCGACTCGCCCGCGAGAGCGTCTGTTAGACCTGAGCCGCGCCTGATCGTCTAGGCCGAAATTTGACAATATCGTTGAGCTGTTATGATGGGTCAGATATCCGCGGGACATCAAAGACGCTCCTGCCTGCCCTTTCCAGTAGGCTACCTTCAAAAACCTACTCACCCGCACAAAGGATAAACACGTCAGAGAAAAGCCTCTGGGAAACTCCCCTCCCCCTTCACACTCTTCCCTCGCCCCCCCCCACTTTTTTTTTTTTTTTTTTTTTTATCTTAAGCTTGTTACAGAATGGAGTGGTCTATCTATCCCTATTATTTAAAGCTAGTTTTCTTCTTATTGTAATGTCTCCAATTATATCCATGTTGTGGCAAATGGCAAGAATTCATCTTTTTTCTTTTCTTCTTTTTTTTTTTTTTTTTGGTCAGATTCTACAGTGTTTGCCTGTGCCCTTCGTGAATTTTCTCCCAATGGTCCAGCCGGGCAGTGTGATTCACACTCGCGGAAATGGACGCTAGCTTTTTTTCATAGCACCGCCGCTCTCATGGAAATCCCAGAGCTGGCTTTGCTGGACACTCCCAGGACACCAGTTTTTCAGAGCTCCTCCCAAACATCTGGCCTTCCCAGACTTCATAAAGGGGGATTATATCATCCTTTCTACCTCGACTCTGCAGAGTACGGTGATCAATGTCCGGTCTGCACATGACACATTTTGACAGAAGAGCAGACTTAAAGGAACTAAGCAAATGCACTGCAGCACAGACTTCGTAGAAAAACATAGCAATGCAATCAGAGAACTTCAGATTCCCTGAACAGATATCTGCCTAGTCCCAAAAGATCTCTGTGAACCCTCAGGTCTCTGACGGGGGTCTTGGGAAATGCTATTCTGTTCTTCGTAAAATTGCAGAATCTGTGAAGATGTACTTAAATTTTACAAAATGTTTACTGCAATCTTTTCAAACGTGAATGTAGAAAGAGCAAGTAAAATCTGATCTATGGGAAATCATTTCCTGATATCCTCACTGGCTTTTCTTGGACACAGTTGCACAGCCCTGCACAAACAAGGCATTTGATGAATATGTGCAGAAAGATTGAATGCATCTTAGCCCTTGGATGCATAACTGATGTTTCAGTATTGGCCGCCCTCCCTCCCCCCACTCCCCATGTGGTTGGCATGGAAAGGAGAGAATACTATGGATGAGATGAATTAAGGAAGCCTGATACCTGAAACAGATTTTTCTCCGTAGCCTCAACCAAGCATCAAAGATTAATTTACTTTTCCATTAGGATCATTAATTTTGCAAACCAACATGCAAGGGAGACTTTGTAGAGTATTAATTTAGAATCTTCTTTTCTGGAACAGTAAACCTGACAAAGGGAAATTGGAAGCATTTAACAAACCTGAGTCTGCTAAAGAGCACAAAGTAACTTTGGGCACATGTTACATCCAGTCCCAGGAGTTGGGTCAGTTGGCTAAAGTGAAGTGGGCAATGCGCACAATGGTGAGCAAGGAGGAGGCAGAGCGGAAAGATAAGGTTTTTCTTTTCAGGATATCAGTCAACCTCAGGTCTTTCCCTTGTTTCCCAGGTTCTTCTGCTTCCAAGGAGACCCAGGGACTCACACCTGCTGTATCCTGTTAGCTCTTAACTCTCTTTTTCCATCTGACTCAACCCCCCTTTCCTATCCAGCTAGCATATGTACCCAGTTCCTCCGGAGAAGAGTGAAGGGATCATTTCTTGGTGTGTTCTGATTCCAAAAGGGCCTTTCGGAAACAATGTCACAACCTCCTGTTCCATCCTCATTCCCAGCATATAGGGTGAAGTTAATTGAGGTTGTTTTGGACTGGGAAAGACAGGGGAGTCATGGCACTTCGATTGCCATTCTGCCAGCACCCTTCAAATCACATGTAGATCTCCCTTACTTAGTTACTCCCTGAGCATTTTTGTTAGCCCTGCAAGTACCAGGGACCTAACTCTTGGGAGTAGGAATACAAGAGAATTATCTTTCGTTGATAACTCCAGGTGTGTTCTCTTAATTGCAGCAGTAAGCATAGACTCAAACCCATTTCTCTCTTTTTTTTTTTTATGGAGAAAAAGGATTTTGCTCCATAACTGTTTTCTTTTCAGGATGTTCTTACAGTGGGAGTTTCTACTTATCAGATACAGGTTAGATTGTGTAACACTACTTTTATAATTAATAGTGCCACTTTATGACATTCTCTCTATCCTTTAAACTTTACAGGTGGGGCATACCAGTATAAATGGAAGATGGCTGACTAGAACATCAGCCCTCTTGTCCTCATGTGCCTACCTTTTCAGAGGGGGTCATCACTTCTGAGACAGCGCCCATCTGTCTCCCACATCTGTTACAAATTCTTCATTGTAGGAAAGGAACATTGTGATCAAATGTAATGGGAAATCCTTCTTTTCAGTGCTCTTAGTGGTCTGACTTTTCATTTCCGTCAAGGATACTCTAAAGGGATCATCATTTTACCACAGTCCACTATCTCCTAACCATAATTCCAATGTAAAGCCTGAATCTGGATACCTATTTCTGCAGCATCCCTCGCTGATTTATTTCCTTCTCTAAAGGTAAACAAATGTTTATAGATTTAATAGTGTTTTCTGATCTGATTTGCTATTCCAGAAATAAAAAATTTCACTAATAGTAAAAGCTCCAAATTTTAGAACTGCCAAGTTCTACCTGCTCATTTTCCAACCAATCCATCATAATAAGAGCAGTGATGCTTCTGGAATAGAGCTTTATGAAAAATTGCAACTGACATGCATCACAAAGTCCAACCAAGCTTTCCTCTGGAATACTTTATTTAGCTTCACGCTTTCTATCCCTGTTCTGAAGTTAGGTCAGACTCCAATTTTAAGCCTCCTTGGTAACCTTTCTAATTCTAGTCTCTCTCTCTCTCTTTCTCTCTCTCTCTTGGTTGCTTGCAATTTGCCCTAAACCTAGAGCAGTGCTTCTATGTGGCTGTTTACTGGGCTCACCAGAGAACTTAAAAAATACACACACACAACTTGATCACACCTCTAACTTAATTGTTAGGGGGGGGGTACAGATGGGGCACCAGGATTTTTCAAAGCTCTCCAGGTAATCCTAATATGCTGCCAGCAGTAAGACCCACTGAAATGAGTCATTTTCAAACAACATTTATACTGTCTTCTCAGAACATTGGGGTGACTCCAAAGTAGCTCAAGTAATCAAATTAAGTACCTAATCCTGTGCTTTCAGACTCTTCGCCAATTGATTAGAATGGTCCCCTTTCACAACAGCTTAAATTTATCTTCTTCTGAAAGCTTCTCCAGATTAGTCTCACCTGGCTGCTCAAAGATCCCTGTTTCCAATGCTCGTAGTATTACCAACTGGCACCAGTTTACAAGCCTTCGGTCCACAGTAAATTGTGTGTGTTACTGTTTTAATCTTGCTTTCATAAGATATCTCTGGAGGCTTTTTTTTTTATCATCTAGATCTCTCTAAAGTCCCACTAGGTCAACAGAAAATCTCAAAATAAACAAAAATGTTCTTAGCAGGACTTTGTGCTAGCAGTATGCAAGAACATTCCCTGATACAATGGCAGCTCATTTTTTATTAACATAATTAAGACCAGCATTTGCAAGAATTGACATGTGTTCACTTCAGTATATTTTGCCGACTCTCCTCACCACTATTCATTTATTTTAGGTATTGGAATTTGGCTTCACCACTCACCTCTCCTGAAACTG